ATGTTTTATTTTCAGTTTTTCCATCAAGCTTGAATTCAAAGTTATCAATTACCATTATCGGGTACTTTTTTCCCCGAGTAAAATATACAACATCTAAAAATATATAATTAGATTAAATTGTATGTGTTTTACATATTGTTTACTTGTACCCTTTTAAAAGTTCATACTTTTGGATATATACAGGGTGTACGGAAACTATTCAAATCGACAAATAAATAAAAGCATATTCTAGGAATAATTTTGGATCGGTTTGAACAAAATCTTCCTATTAAAAAGGCATCCTAAAAGAGCTGAATACTATGAAGAAAGGCAGTAACTACCAAAAAATGCAAAATGCGTTTTCTTGTGCTATGGTAAAGCTATGGTCATTTTTATTTTAATTGTACATAGAAATGCAGGAAAGTTAAAAAAAATCAATTTATTTATTTCTTGTTTAGCTGCCTTTCTTCAAGCTCTTGAAGCATTTTCGTTTGAGGATTTAGTTTCCGAACGCAGTGATACCGTTATGTTGTATAAACCAATTTTATACTGGTAATAATCATTTAAATAATAATAATAATTATTATTACCTTTGAAAATTTGTTCACAAACAATTTAATCTAGTTTAAACAAGTAAATAGCAATAAAGATGCAAAAAAGCACTTAAATAAACAAGTGTTTATTTGTATATGAAATAAAAATTTATAATAAAGTTTAAAATAAAATTTCCAAATATAGAAAAACTATTATAAAAATATCATTCAACATTACAATGAATAGGTATAACATATAAGTAGAATATCTGCATATAACAATTAGTTATTAAACAATATTCTTAACACCAAAAAACAAAACCCACAAATTTTAGAATTAGGTACATATTTTTGTATTATTTAGTAAATATATAACAAATATACAAGAGATTAATAGTTTTAACGGGCATTAAAAACTATACAATTAAATATGTTTTTTATATTTTTATTTTTAACAATATAATTAGGTAGTTATTTTTAAGATCAATTTCTTTAATTTTATTGTTTTAGATATCTTTTTAAATTTGTGGTTGGGCTTGTTTTTAATTTCTAGTGGTAATGGGTTGTATATTTTTGGGTCAAGGTATGTGTAGCATCTTTGGCCAATAGTAAGTAATAGTGGTAATGGGTTGTATATTTTTGGGTCAATACATATAAATATTTAACAGAAATGGTATGAAAGTTTCTCATTTGAATTTTAACTGTTAAGCACTGTATATGATAACAATCAATTAACCGATTACAGATACACTGTTTTATAAGATGAAACAATAGTTCCTAATGAAACCAATGTTTGAACATTCTGTAGATTAGACCTAATAAATATATACCTATATAGTTTATAAACCTAAAAATAATGTTTTCGCTCTCATATCTTTTTAAATAATAAAGGTAACAATTTTTCGGGATTCCTGGGGGTTTGTAGATCATCAACCTTTAAGGTAGTGCGCGACTTCTGGGACACCCTGTATAAAAATATAGTTTACTTTCAAAATGTTTTTAACTTAACTTGTTAAGATCAAATAATTTAGAAAGATAGCTATTAATCCTGTAAAGGATTTTTTTGCGATTTTAAATTATTTTTGCATTTTTTCAAAATTAAGCTGATTAGAAAGCTTGATTCTTTGGCTCAAAAGCCATATAAGTTTAATAATAAGATATAAATTGTTTTCGATATTTTCAACTATTTGATTAGATAACAGATCCAACACTCAAAAACAATGTTTATCCCATTAACCTTATATGGTTTTAAAGCCAAAGAATCAAGTTATATAATATAACAAAGAAATAATATTTAAACAGGATGTCTGGTATGTTTTTTTCTTTTTTAAACTTGATATGTAGGTACTAAAATTTGTATTAAAATTTCAAAAAATATATTTTTTATAACATAATATTAATTATTATAATTATTATTAGGGTGTACCTTTTTAACGTCGAATTGAAATTTTTCTCTTTAATTAATTTAAAATCCTTGGTGCAGTATTGGATACCTTTCGTTTAGATGACCCCATATCAATGAGGATTTTATCGGAACTTCTGTATAATAATATTCCTTTGCTTTAACATATGTTAAAGCAAAGGAATATTATTATACAGAAGTTCCGATAATAATATTACTTTTCACAAAAATATGGGCTGTAACGACTTTAATTTAAAAATTTAATTTAATATTTTAGTATGTATAAGCTCTAAGAAACAATTTTCTTTACTTTATCAATAGTTGCATTATCCTAATAAAATATTTTTATTGAATCCTTAAAAAATTTTACATTTCTATTTCAGATGTTGGCAGTGATGTAATGTTTCGAGATACATGTATCTAGATACTGGATCTAGATACATTTTATGTACCTAGATACGTATCGAGATACTTAAAAAAATCAGGATCTACTTTAGTATCTAGATCCTTTTGAAAGTATCTAGATCCTTAGATACAAGATACATTTTATTTTACCCAACCTGATTGCAACTCCACACCGTGTGGGCCACACGGAAAATGAACATCCAATGGATATACTCTATGGATATCCAGGATATATGCCTACATTGGATATTTTTGATATCTCCCGTAAGAGATGAACAATACGAAAACCGTAGTGCTGTGTATAGACTCCCGTACCCTAATCTATAAACTGAACTACTGTTTTCGTATTGTTCATCTTTTACGGGAGGAAGGAAAGAAGGAGGGAAGGAAATCTATAAATCCGGCTTAACGCTTTTTCCCACCCTCTATGGATTTACAGGAAAAAGCATCTGGCAACACTGTACCGAACCCAGAGACCTAACGATAATTTTGAATTTGTACTACAAATTTTGTAGTAAGCTTTCATATGGCGCGTAAATATAAAATTTATTTCCGTTTTTCATGGATATTTCGTCAATTTTATCAAAACAGTTTTATTTTATAGTTAACACGCTTGTTTATAAGGTCCAAAAGTTTTTTTAACATAGTATCTGGAAGTAACTTAGATACTTTTTGAATGTATCTGTATCTGTACCCAGATACTTTTGGGAAAATGTATCGGTATCTGTACCCAGATACATCTACCAGAGAGTATCTGTATCGGTACCTAGATACTGAAAAAAATGTATCGGTTACATCACTGCATGTTGGAAATACCAAGAATGACACCAGGGCTGTACGTTGGGCTGCCCTCTCTCGTATTAGATATATTCTCCCAGGCCTCAGACATGATTTTAAAACCGAGTCCCTGACGAAGCTATGGCCGGACTTTTAAGACAGATTCTTGGCTCCAAAGTCTCTAACCAAGCTTTAGCCAGACTTTCAAAACCAAGTCGTGGCTTCCCAGTCTCTGACCAAGCCCCGGTCAGGCTTTTAAAACCGAGTCTTGGCATTCAAGTTTCTAAACAAGCTTTAGCCAGACTTTCAAGACCGAGTCTTGGCTGTCGAGTCTCTGACCAAGCTAAAAATGCATGTTTGTAAAAATAAGGACTACAATGCAATTGAAGCCAATGCTATGCAAATTGAACTGTTGTAACTTTTCCTGGGTTAGTATACATACTCTTTTAAATCATATCCAAGGTCATCGCATTTTGGGACAAAAAATTTAATTTTATTTAAGTAATAATAAGTATGCATTTAAGGACGGGCGTTTTCATTCCAAGTGATAGATCAGGGTCATCGGAAAATTTATATTTAAAGAAAATTTGTCTTAACAATTTTCTTAAACCAAAATTATGCTAGGTATATATAGCAAACATTTCGTATTTCTGTGGGTAAAAGGCATAAGGGGATACGTCAAAAAGATCAATTTATCAGTAGAGCCTTAAACGTATTCGCATTAATTCAGGGAATATATTTATGGTTAGCGGGTATACCCTTTTGTTAGCACATGTCATATGCTAACAAAAGCGTATACCCGCTAAACATAAATATATTTCCTGAATTAATGCGAACACGTTAAAGGCTCCATTGAAAAATTGCTTTTTTGACTTATCCCCTTATGCCTTTTACCCACAGATTTCTTCGGCGTAAATTACAAGAATCATCCTTAACAAATTTTAGAGATGATTCCAACTGGCATAATATTATTAATAATTAATTATTATTAACATCATAATTATTTATAATAAACTTCATATGAAGGCTGTTGCATATACTTCATACGTAAATCTATTATACCTATTATATCTAGTATACCTATTATATCTATTATACCTATCAATATATTCTTTATGTCCTTCAATACTTGTTCTTCCCATCCTATTATAAAAGGTATATATATACAGCCTGTTTATATATATATATATGGGGCGCCTTCCTCCAAGGCGCGTCACAGTTGCTTGTGTAATAAACGACATGACGAAAGGTCGAGCAGGTAAGGAGTTAAAAAATTAAATGATAATGCAAAAAATCTCATTAGCGATGCAGTCTATTTGCTTAGCTACTGTGTCGCGCGTTGGAGGGAGGCGAGGCCACGCCCCATATATATATAGATATATTCGGTTTTAGTATGAAAGAGCTGTATATATATATATATATATATATATATATATATATATATATATACCTTTTATAATAAGATGGGAAGAACAAGTATTGAAGGACATAAAGAATTTAGGAATAAAGACCTGGAAAAACACAGTACAAAACAGAAAAAAAGGGCAAAAATTACTGAAGACGCAAAAAACCACCAAACTTTAACAAGAAAATAAATAAACAATAAACCGAATCATTAAGCTCCTAACGGAGTGACTCCTACCCCAGTCGTTTTTCGTACTTTTTATATTAAAACATTTTAAGGAAAAATTGATGGCAAAAATTGTTTTTTTTATTTCAACGTTATAGCGTTGAACAAAATATATGGTTGTTTTTGGTAACTAATCTCTATAACTAATATTCGACATTATTTTCCAACTAGTTTTTAAACAATTACAACTACAAAAAATAAGGAAATCCATTGCTAATTTAGCTTTCATAATATGATATGATATTTGTAATGGAAGTAACATAAATAAAAAAACAATTCATTACCCAATTATTTATTAAAACACTTAAAACTACAATGAAATTAATATCAAAAACTTAATCATACTACAGTAATTAAAAAGTAAACCAAGGACTTATTTCGAAATTTCCGCCTTTTGCCTTTTCCATCTATTCATCTTATGACGAATCGTATCGAATGGAGTTTCCCTGGCTGCATTGGGATACCTTAAAATTATCAAAATAAAATACAGAAAAATCGATAATTAACTGTTAAAAGGAATTAAAATTATTTCCTCCATAAATTTCTTACATTTCGCTTAACGTAGCATACACCGTGCGACTAGGTACAGTTGGATTTTTTAACATAACCTCCTTTAGTTCTCTCATGAATACAATTTTTTCCTCAGCAGCAAAATCAGGTGGATGATTGTGAGGTTTATTTAATTTTATATCCTGAATGGAACCGTCGTATGGTATTGTTGCTCTAGCGTGGCATCCTAAACGTTTATATTCGAGACATCGTAAATATCTAAAATATATATTTAATTTTTATGATAATATTGGGCTTGTTCCTACCGAGCATTTGAACTGTCAATGCCATTTGACTGAAATGGACGTCACGGGCATGCGCAATAGCAATATTTTTGTATTCCGCATGTCTCTTACGTCCATTCGACTTAAGTACAACTATTAATACACATTTTGTTTAAATACAGGTAAATGGTTTCATCGATGGCAAATTTTTATTGGTATAATATTGAATGATATGCTGGAACAAAGTTGTAACCGCCAGAAATGACTTTTGAGGACAATCAAGAAAAACTGTTTGTCGTACGTTTCTTTCAAATAAAAGTAAAATTTTTGCCTTTACAATACGAAAGATTTAAACACATAAAACATTTCACGGATATACGGCATTTTGCCACGGTGGTTACAACGTTGTTCCAGTAGCTATACTGCAAAGGTATTTTAATTTAATATTTAAAATAAATGAATTTTTTTAACCATCGAGTAGACAACATTGCCTGCAATTAAATGAAATGCTTGTTACAATATTTGCTTACATCATAGGCGGATTTCCCTTAGTAATGTTAACGTGAAAAACAAAACCATCAACTATATAACGTGGCATATTCGGTTTTCTCTTAATTTCTTTCATTTTAACGTCCAACAGGTTGGTTACATATTCTGAAAAATATGTATGTTAGAAAAATTAATATATATATATTTATATATATATATATGTACATAGGTATATATATATATATATAACTACAAAATCGTGATTTGAATACAGCATGAAATATTATCATAAAGTGATTATGGAGTTGGGTTACTTTTAAATAATTTATATAACAATTCGATGTTGCGAAGTGATTTGGACCAATCATAAAATTCTACATCTTCCAGGCAGTTCTAACCTCACTTTCTATTTTTAATTTTGTTATAATACCACTTTTATATTTTAATGTTAAAAATACATGCTGTACCTTCATAAAGAAAAAGGGACTAAGGACATTACGTAATTTTATTTAATTTTTAATGGTCTTATTTATTAACTTAAAAAAAAAAATAATATACCCTCGACTAAAAAAACTTTATTGTTTAACAAATGAACAAAAACAGCTTGTTAATTATTTAATATGAAATTTTGATTTATCATGTTTTCTAACTCCTTTAATATATCGTTCCATAGTTTCAAAAGGCAGCAAGTCTAGAGCCCTGGGATATCTGAAATATTAAAAAAAATAGACCTGACAAATACAGAAAGCGGAAAAACTTCCTTTCTAGTTTTAAAACTTTTACCTCCAAAAAAAGTTTCAAAGAATTATGCAAAATCTTAAAGCACCTCTTGGCTGATATACAAGGAGAGTCACGAGGACCAATGTCAGGTCTGATTTTGATTGCTAATAGGACAACCACGGTCCGCGACTAAAATTTAATGTTGCATGATTTATTACACGAAAGCTAGATTAATACATTATAACTTGACGTTCCTTCCGACTCTTCCTGTATATTTTTTGTTGAGATAAAACTTGTAATTATTACTGAATTCAGTAACTTAAGTTAAAAAATATTTTCTTTATTTATCTAATAAAAGAAAAATTTACTTGTATTTAAGTAATAATAGGTGTGCATTAAAGGACGGACCTTTTCTTTCCATGTGATAGATCTATACAGGGTATCCCAGGGTCATCGGAAAAATTATGCTATGGGGACATCCATTAATTACGTGAGGTATTTTTCTGATAATTTGGACCCCTCTTCCCCTTCGTGAGATTTGGTGAGATGTGGTAGACCCCCCTATTCCTCAAGTGAGATTCTAGCCATGAAACTTTCTTTGTGGGCAACATAATTAATGGATAATATAGGGGATATATAGTGTCCGCGTAAGTTCTTTACCTATTATCATTTTTAAAATATCAAAATTTTATGATAGGAGGATTTAAACTTTTAATTCTAAGCAACATATTATTTCATTTTGCTCTAAAATAAAAATTAGGGGTACTTCTCTCTTGGGCCAATAATTACACTATGATAGTTTTAGTTTTTCCTAATATTGAGTACTCCAGCTTGGTTTAACTAATTTTGGGCCGCTGATTTCAAAAAATTTAATTTGTTTTTCTCCAGAACGTCTAGGATTTAAAATAATTTCGTAATAAAATGCTCTGTTCAATCACCTCAAAATGTTTTTTTGTTAGTATTTTAATTATTTATTAAATTATTTTGGCTTAAATGTATATCGAATGTACTGAAGTAATCGGTATACGGCAAATAGATCATATTTATCTTAACAATATGACATTTTGAATACTAAAATTAAAATTTTAATGTATTTTATATAAAAAAACAACCATTATTTGACATTTTTTGTCGTTGAAATAAAAGGGCAACAAAATAAACAAGTTTCGATTTTTTTTTATCTAAATTGAGTACACAAAAATTAATGCATTGCATAATTTTGCTTTTATCTACCTTAAATTTATTAAATCGTATCAAATATCGAATTGGATTATAGTATTATTGTGCTTAATCCTCATCATCGTCGTACATCTTTTGCTGCAAATTTTAGGAAATGTCTCCTAGCCATGAATCCAACTTATTTCCGCTATACCCATAGATGTCTACCAATGCTCTAGATTTGCAGTAACTTAGTGACATCGTTCTCCATGTTTATCAGTTCGGCAAATTTATCATAATGAAAAAAAAGAAAATGTATTTTAAACTAAGATTTTAAATGACATATTAATGCTAATTCTTTACAAAACGGAGAATTTTTTCATTCAATTGGCGCCAATTTTTGGTCCGATATGAACCAAGAACATTTTCAATTTCAACAGCTTTAACACTGCCATATGCGACAAGCTCGTCAACTTTGAGAGCATTTTTGAATGCTTGATCCTTCATTAAACGTCGTCGATTTAATATTCCTGCAAAATTAAAGTAGTAGGTATATCTCATAAAATTTTGTAATGAAATATTGCGTTGGTTTTTCTTGGGCGTAAAGGTACCGCAAAAAATACAAAAATTCGAGATTAAATTTTATGGTACTTTAGGCATGATGTGAATAAATAAAGGACTTTTCTGCAGAAATGTGCATTTTTAAATATAGTATACGGCTACAATGAAACAAAAAAATTATATTTGACATTTATCTACCGATGACTTGGTATGGAGTGTACACTGAAAAAAAATATTCTTGATTCAAAACAATCTTAGTCTCATATATAACGAAGAGAATATATTCTTTAAAATAGTAAAGTATTTTCTTAATTCACGTTGATTTACTTCAAGAATATTTTCTTAATGTAAGAACATTAAGAAAAGATTCTTGAAGTAAATCAACGTGAATTAAGAAAATACTTTACTATTTTAAAGAATATATTCTCTTCGTTATATATGAGACTAAGATTGTTTTGAATCAAGAATTTTTTTTTTCAGTGTATATTTTTGACAAAAAACGTCAAAAATATACTTAACATCCAAAATAGATTAAAGGCAAAATAATTTAATAAATAATTAAAATATTAACGAAAAACTTTCATTTTGAGATAATTGAGCAGAGCATTTTATTACGCAATTATTTCGAATCCTAGACGTCCTGGAGCAAAACGAATGGAATTTTTTATTTCAGCAGCCCAAAATTAGATAATGTTCGAAAAAGTTAGAAATAATTGATATCGTAGCAATAAGTTTGTTGATTTGATAATTTTGTAATGTCATTCGAAATTTGTTAGAAAGTCACGTAAATTTTAAAATGTTCCAAAATCCCGAATATATATATATTGCTAATAAGGCCCAAGAAATCGAGTTGGATTTAATTCCTGTGAAGTCTCGTGCCATTTTCAATAAAGATCATGTGCTTTCTGCTTTTATTAAATGGAAACACGAAAATGGCGTACTCTTTGTAAATAAAGATGTATTGCTAAATTATTTACATGAAAAAGTAAACCTTTAAAAACCTAAATACTTAGTTAGAGGTATTTTAAGGATTTTAAATTAAAATAATCTCTTAAATTACAGTCACAAACGTTCAAAGCGTCGACAGTTTGGTTGAAATTTCCATGCTGAAAGCAGTGTTACGTGTTAAACAAAATATTCATATTCCAAGAGTTATTGCTGAATTTAGACATTCTAAGGAATTTTGTAGTCCGTAAAATAGCCATTTTTGGGAGCGTATGACAAATATATAATTTTAACTAATGAGAAAAACCAGTTTTCTTTTGGAAGTTTAATAAGTAACCTCCAATACTGCCCTTAGATTCGTGTTTAGCGAAAAAATATATAATAAATTCTTAAGTATGGTTTGTTTCTTAGCACACACATTTTTTTTTTATTTTTGTAAAAGCAAAAACACCTTGAAAAATTGAGATAAGGATTTTTTCACAATAATAATGGATCATAATGGAGTATAATGTTTATCAATCTAATACAATGCTATTATTGTTGAACTGTCCGGAAAGTACACTTCCCCACTACCAATTTCGGTAAATTAATAAAAATAGATTATTTTCCGGTGACCATGGGACCACCTGTATATAAGGTTACCTACATTGAAACTACACTTTTGTAAACTTCCTTGGAACTCCCAGGTAAAGAAAGGGCAAATTGTTTAGTCAGTTTGCGAATTTCTTCGCGTTCTTTTTTATCAAAATCTGGAGGATGACTGTGTTGTTGGTAAGCCACAAGTTGCTCAACGTTTCCATTTATTGGTATCCAAGCCCTTGCCATACACGTCAGACTTACTCTGTTTGAGCAAACCAAATATCTACGCATAAAATTAATTTAAAAATTTTTTTTGTAATATTTTTTTAATTACCTTTTATCTCTGTTTGTATATGAGGTCGAATAAGAATATCCATCGACTAATAAAGGAAACTTTAAATTATTGTTTATACCTAAAAAATATATTTGTTACTTAATAATTTGCAAAAAAGAATGTCCTAAATTAATAACTATTTTAAAAAGCAAAAGTGATGTATTTGAAAAATTTAAACAATATTTTAAAATTTAAAGCACAATTTAGCTTTAATTAATATATAAATGTTTCCCAATAAAAAGGGTGTCGGGATAAACAAAATGCAAAGATTTCTCCTTAACCCCATGTTCGTACATGGTCTTACCTAAATTGGGACCTCTAGGTTGTTTTATTAAATAAATACCTTAAGGTAAGCAATTGCTTTAGAAATAATATGTGGGAAAAATAAGTAAATTTAGAGACTAGTCTCTGGTATACTTAGAGACTCTCTGGGTATACCTACTCGTACACGGAGATTACAAAACAGTAACCATTGACGTGCAGAAAACTTGATATACAATGTCAGGTTACTTTGACAACAGCAATGGTTATTCTTGTCACATCAATAAGTAGTGCTAGGAACTATAGTGAGCAATATTCTGCACAATAAATATTATTTACAATAGTTTATTGATTACTGTTTTGCGCATCAATGGTCACTGTTTTATTTTCTCTGTGTACGAGAAATAAAAGACAATTTTTTAGTTTACCCCAATTTATTTACTTTAACTTTTACAAAGCACATGAAGCTACAGCCAGGGAAAAAGAGCTGGAGAAAAAACTCTGGTGGTCTATGAAGAAGCTGAGTAGCATGCAAATTATTGTGATAAAAATACGGCCGGGTACTTTATTTGACAAATATTCAAAACTGGAAAATAGCTGGGCTAATTAACTGGACAGTCAACCGTGACCAATTTAATTTTTTTAATACATTTACTGAGAAAATTTAATACAAACAAATATTAAACTAAATTAATGTTAAATATTTTGCACCTTTATTAATTGTGACTAATAATCATTTTAATATAAATAATTAAGCAATTAAGTAATTACTTTAGCCCGTGGGCTGAAGTTAAGAAATGAAATGGGTGTTAAATAAATAAATTAATATAACAATGCCTGGTTTTTAAAGTGTATAGTTTCCCTAATATCGAAACCACCTTTTATTTAGTTTTTATTTTAGATTGCTTGACGCTTTTTAACATATCTGAACCAATCGGTCACGGTATTTTCATAAAACTTTTCGGTAAAAGCTGGGTATACTTCAACAGTGGCGGCTGGTGGATTTTGGGCACACCTATATCTTAGTTATTATATAGAGATTATATATAGACAAGTTCTGCGCAAGCAGAATTTAAATTGAAGTTTGCGAAAAAAGTTAGTTTTTAAGTGTGCCCCCCAGCCTCCTGCCCCCCATCTTAAGATCATTCAAATTAAAGTGGTAAAATATTTAATTCACTGAAGTTTATCGACAAATTTCAAATTTTATTAAAAAAATTTAAATATTACAGATTTTATACAATTTCTTTTTTTTTTAAATTTAGTAAAAGAAATAATAAAAATTTAAAATGGTATAAAACCTGTAATTCTTAAATTTTTTTAATAAAATTTGAAATTTGTCGATAAACTTAAGTGAATTAAATATTGTACCACTTTAATTTGAATTATCTTAATTTGGGGGGGCAGGAGGCTGGGGGCACACCTAAAAACTAAATTTCTTTCGCAAACTTCAATTTAAATTCTGCTTGCGCAGAACTTGTCTATATAATGTCATTATAAACTCATATAAATTTGATGTGGGCCCCATGTCTAATAACTGAGATATGGGTGTGCCCAAAATCCACCAGCCGCCACTGAAGTAACTTCAAGAGACTCTAATGCGAGAATTATTTACTTAATTTATTTAACTTTAATAGAGTTGTGTTACCTTTTAATAACGAAAATTACTCTTTCATGGCATATCATAATGGTGTTCTTTTTACCCAGTCAACTACATTTTGTGGCAAACTCATTTGTAAACATTCTGTTTAAAACTCTTTTTGTTTGATGCTGTAAGATTAATCCTCCAACTTGTTTTATAAAATTAACCTTGGATAAAACTAATAAATAGCCATCCCTATGTTTCATACTTACAAACTTTTGCTAACTATTAACTATTAACTCATATTAGTTAATAGTTCGTTTATTTTTTGCAGGTCTTCAATACTTTTTATAGGTATGGTATCCAGTATTTTTTTTATTTGATTTGATGTTGGAGTTTTTTTAAGTCTATTTTTTTCTCAATATATTTTAGCCTCGAGTTCATTACATTCATTTTTAAATAAAGTGAATCAATACTTTTAACCAAAGCATCTTGATAAAACCATTGAGATGTAGGCAAATTAATTAAACACCCATTTCATTTCTTAACTTAAACCGGTGCACAGTGGTCGGAGAAGGGGAAAAAGCTGGCCAAAATTGAAAAAATCAATGTTTTTTTTTTCGTAAAACAAAATACGGTATTCTATAAAGAACCTATTCTTGCCAGATGTCAGATAAAATATTAAATAAAATTTTTGTGGTAGTTGAATAAAATATTGTGTGCGACTATTGCTCAAAGGAAGAGATTACCCCACTCGTTACGCTCGTGCGGCAAACTCCAGGCTCAAGGAGTCTCCTCTTTCTCGAACTAGTTGCACAATTTACTATTCTTTAGTTTTGTTAGTTTAGAAATCTATGGTTTTTGGCCAATTAGGTTTAGGTTGTGTACAAAACTAGAAAATAACTATTTAATCATCAAATAAATTTTTAGACACTTGGCAACACTGTTTGTCTGGAATTTTAAATCGCCTAAAGTTAGTTAACCAGTTCTGTATTGTCCGCTGAAGTGACAAGTGTCCTTGGGAGGACAATATAGGGCTCACAGCACACAAATAAGCTGATCAGTGACAAAACCCCAGAATCTACATTAGATTGGTGAAGACCCAAAAGATTCCCACAAAGGATGGTCAAAGTATTCAAGGATTGAATACAGTGGTACAATATTTAATTCACTGAAGTTTATCGACAAATTTTATTAAAAAATTTCAAGTATTACAGTTTTTATACCATTTCTAATTTTTTCTTAATTTAGTACCTAAAATAAATAATAAAAATTTAAAATGGTATGAAACCTGTAATTCTTGAATTTTTTTAATAAAATTTTAAATTTGTCGATAAACTTCAGTGAATTAAATATTTACCACTTTAATTTAAATTATCCTAATTTGGAGGGGCAGGAGGCTGGGGGGCACACTTAAAAACTAACTTTTTTCGCAAACTTCAATTTATATTCTGCTTACGCAGAACTTGTCTATATAATGTCATTATAAATTCATATAAATTTGATGTGGGTCCCATGTCTAATAACTGAGATATGGGTGTGCCCAAAATCCACCAGCCGCCACTGATTGAATATACAGGTGCAAACATGGTCAGATTTTTTTACATTTTTTTTGCCTATGGACTTCCGCTGCTATTATCGTAATTTTGTTTATGTTTGAGACATTAGTTTATTAGTGTAATAAAAATGATAAGTGAACTAAGATGTTTTAAGAACGAACTGATATGCTAAAATGAAATACTGTATAAAAACTGAAAGATAGTGATGGACATATAATTAAGGAAATATATATATGTAAACATGTATATAATATACATTTAATTAAGAAGAAAAGAAGAAGCTATAGGTAATCCTAGACTCGCTTCCTCCAGTAGCTAAAACAGAAAGATTCAGCTGGCTAAATCCCGAAAGGGAAAGGCCAAAACACTTAGAGGAAGAAGAAGAAAATTAGTACAAATTGTACCTATCTATTTTAAGGATAATTTTTAGAAACATTAATATTTTATCAATAATGTTTATTTCAATTATCAAATCGATGCTACACATATTATTTGGATCGATAAAAGATAATCAGGCCAATTTAAGAGTTATGCTCTGAATAATTAGGTTATGTAGAAAAATGACCTCTTAAACAACGTTTATAAATCGAAATAACAGAGACGTTTTTAGATTAAATTACATAAAAAGTAGTCTAAGTCTCACTTAGAAATAATTTGTATATGTATAGAAGTACACATATGTGACAAGAATATACAAAGAACCTTGATCAAATCCCGCTAAATCCCTCTTTAATTAAGTGTCAAACTTAAGGGTTTAAACCCGATAAATGCAATACACGTGTTTTTTCCCACACATTTGCTTTTTTGGCTTAACGGCTTTTACGCGCGATCTCCACAATTGAGGTCAATTCATATAAACGTTTATAGTTAGGTATTTTACAAAAGTATGTTTTTTATGTGCTTGGATAGAGCTTAGCAGCTCATAAGATAGAGGCAGACATATTAGAAAATTAAAAATATCTGCAGAATTTTATTTTAAGAAAATGAATGTAAATAATTAGGTATACTTCGTTAACTTTTTGAATAATGAAATTAAAAATTTAATTAAAGTTATACAACACATTTTTGTAGAAATCCGATAGCTATGAACGTATCGTAGTGGTTTTCTGAAATTCTTTTAAGGTTGTCCTGGAGTGAGTGTCGAATGATCAGAATTTGATAAAAATTTACAAATGATGCTTCACATAATCCTGTTTAATTTAATAAAAATTCTTGTCGTTGGGAGCCGACTAAATACATTTCAAAGTTGAGTAAAAATACACGGGTTCTTAGGGCAGCACGTGGATTGTCATCAGATAGGAACGCTCTCGCCCGGTGCGTGCTACATACTATGTAGTACATAGATGTGAGTGAGAACGTATGTAGCAAGCTTCTAAGCTTCTAAGGTAGCAAGCGTAAGGGAGAAAGAGACAGCAAATACGACGTAGCCAAGCGTTGCGACTGCTATTGGCGAAACTTTTAAAAGCGATGTTTTAAATTTTTATTCATTCACATACATTATAACAACGCTTCGTGAACTTACAATGCAATTACGTTTCAAAATAATAAAAAAAATCGCCGAAAATGGAATTTATACCCATATGAATTTTGGTTGCAAGTAGTTGGCAACGGGTTTTAAATCAAATGCTGTAGGGAAGGACACAGTTCTACCACGATCGAAACACTAAAACTCATGCCCGGACAACCTTAAGTTTGTCGCACCTCTAGTCATTCTGCTAAAGCACTTCTGTGATTGGCTACTTTATTTAAGGGGTAAATCCAAAACGCCAACGGACTTTCTCCATGGCCTCTGCACCCCTTTTCTGTCCATGACTTTTAAGACAACTTTAAAAAATGGTTTAAAAATTGAACAAACCATGTGGTAAAATTTAATTTTTCTTTATGTTAATATTTACGATTTAAAAAAACAAATTAACACACTCATGCTGTATTAAAACTTAACACGTTTTTGTGTGGACTTAATATAACACAGTTTGGTGTAAAGTCGTGAAAATTATACACAGAAAAAAGGCTAGCATAGCATGAATGGGTGAGCCATTAAACCAATGGGATCTTGTAATCCGTATTCCTGAATAACAGTTCCTATACTACCAATAGGTAGTTAGCACTTGGTTTATAATCGTTTACTGTTTTTAAATTAACAACAAAAGTTATCGCTCCTAAATCTAATGATATTTATTTTGATATTTATTTGTTAGAATGGTAGAATGTTATTGCATTAAATACTTATTTGATTTATTTAATAACGTTACTATTGTATGTATACTATGTATACATTTAACGCAATAAATTCTTTGACATTTAGGCAAAATATTTCCCTATTTTGGTTTAATAGTTATTAATTGAGCAAATAACAATTTAGATTGCTTCAATTTTAATGCATTCAATGACAGCGCTGTTCTTGGTACTATGTTAGATTTTTTTCTGTGTACTTATCAGTTCCAATTATTCTAATATTAAGGTTTCGACCATAAGCATTTATACAATATCTATGGGTTTTTGGCACCCGATAGATAATTAGGTTTGTTTTTGCGTTGACCGAGCGTTTTTTATATATATTGATGAGGAAGGGAAATAGTATATTGTGCGACTAGTGGGAGAAAGTGGAGATTACTCGATCGTGAAGCAGGGCCGTAGCCAGGGGGGCGAATCAGGGCGCCGCCCTGACAGGCAAAACTTTTGCCCTGGCAAATAATCTCAAACTAATTTAAAATTTAATAAATTATATTATTTAATTTAAGAAATAATTCAGGGGTCCAATATCAAACACAGCAAAGTCCAATATTTTTTATTACCAAATTTCATCACATTTATCAAGAGTCCAGTTAAAATGATCGAGTAAAAATATCATATATTATTGCACTTTTTTTTTTCAAGGAAATACTTTAATATAATTTCTGAAAATGTTACCCAAAATAGACTTTGCTCGGTTTGTTATTAGACCCAGCGTTCCCAGTGCCAGTGCTTTTGAACTGAAATCAGTACTTTTTAAGGTGTGTCAGTACGTCAGTGCTACTTTTATAGTTTCAGTACGTTTTGCGAAATTTCCTCGCAAATTGACAAGTCATTTGAGCATACACCTTAGACAGGCAGTGACTTTTAAATTACTTGACTGCCGGAGGGTCAAATTTTAGTACGAGTACTAACATTAAATAGGTACCTACAATTGTAGGGTTTAAACAATATAATCAAAATATTAACAAAATCTTAAATTTTTTCATTTAAATCAGTACGTTTTTTCCTTTCAATCAGAATTTGTTCGTGGTCTGGCTATTTAGACCCCTAAATTGTCTTCTTGCCCAATAAAAACTATCCCTAATATTTAATAAAACAAATCGACCAATTTTAAACATGACACCTTTGTCTGAAATAAACTACCACACCCAAAAATTTCTTTTTTTTTTCAAACGCTTATTACAGTTTTAAAAACTGACTAATCCAGGAGTTTTCTTTTAAAATTATTAGTGCAATATTTCAGTTTTTATTTTTTTTTAACTTGCTTCTCTTTTCTCAAAAGGATTGAGAGGGTTCCCAAATCATTATTAATTTTTGAGCAGCATTAAAAATGAGTTACTTTCATGAAGGTTATGTTAAAATAATTTTAAAATATGTAACAAAACAAAATTAAAATGTATTTGTTTAGTGCATAATAGTAAATATAAATTTCCCAGTGAACAGTTAAATTAGAAACCCGTAACTGGAAAAAATAAAAAATATATTAATAAAAACTTAATTTATTAAAAAATATAACATTTATGTTACATATTAACGTTTCTTCTCCACCTATGAAGAGAAGAGCAAATGGACTTAAACTGTATTTCATCCGCCCCTTTTGGATATCTGAAACAAAGATAAAATACAACGATTATTTTAACAAAATATTAAAATTCATGTAACTGTATTATTTTATTTTGGGTTACTATTACTTTTTATCCTGTTCTGGGCGGTGCTTTCTCGTGACGTGATCTTTTCTTTTCAAAAGATCAAATTAAACGAATTGTGAATGGCCAGTCAAAAATCGGGTAAGCACATGCCCACAACTCGGAGAATATATATTAGTACCTATACTTCCTGTCTTTATACATAGGACAATTTTGCAGACCCAATAAATGTTTGACCAAAATTATTTTTAAATGCCATTTTATACACATTTATTTTAATTTTTTGACCATAATAAGTAATTATTAGTTAAAATGCAAATAACATTAAAATTGAAATATTTGTTCAAAAATGGTATTAACAAAATCTTTCAAACACTTGGGAGTAACTAATTTTTATTTAAAGAAAAATAAAAAACAATTTCGAGTAGTTTTTTGGAAAAGTGTAAGGTTTAAAATATGTATTTAGAAATGTATTCATTTAGACTAGAATAATAATAATAATAATATATGTATTGATGGTTTTCCGGGATCTGCTCCGTGTTGTCGATTTTTGATTCTTAAAAGAACCGTATGTCTGACGTTTCGGTACAATCTCATGTACCATCTTCAGGTCTTATCTGCTGGGCTGCTGTTGCTGCTTTGCTGCGATTTAGACATCCAACTCGTAGCAGAGGAGCAACAGCAGCCCAGCAGATAAGACCTGAAGATGGTACATGAGATTGTACCGAAACGTCGTCAGACATACGGTTCTTTTAAGAACCAAAAACCGACAACACGGAGCAGATCCCGGAAAACCATCAATACAAATAACGCCCATGGATCTTTTGGATGGTTAAAACTATTATTTATCTACTCCTATTGCAACTCATTATTTACGTTGTTTGGCATCGGTGATTGGCCGATTTTAATATTCACTGTGATTTAAACTAATCGGGTTTTAAATTGGAAGAAAGCAACTATAATAACATTAAAAAAATGAGGTTGACATTTGTCAGATTTTATTTATTTATTTTTAAAAATCATTTAATTATCTACTTATTGGAAAAGTATAGTATTACACTAGAGATAATGCGAATTATTTACTCCGAAGATTTAAGCAAACCTCATTTTCGGGAATAATAGCCTGCATTATCTCTCGTATAATATACTATTTTTTGTTTCAGATATATTTATATGAATATAGGGTTGCATTGTCACATCTTTAACTTAAAATTTCTGAAAATTGCCTTGGTTTTTGATCCAACAATGTTAAATATTATAACGTATTTTCACGCTGAAATTATACAGTGCCAAGGGCATCCCAACGGCTTAAAAGAGTGGGGATATTTTGCGACGACACACTGCATCATTTGCGATTTGCATTTGTTACTCTATATGAAAGGTTATCTAAAAGTTTTATGACAAATGGTTATATTTTAGGATGTAAAGGTCACAAATATAACCCAATCACTTTTTAAAGTAAATTATTAATTTAGAGTCATGTGTAAAATCATTATTTGTTAAATATGGAAAACTTAAAAAAAAATAAAATATTGTTTTGTTTGATTTCAATTGTGTTATGTTTAAACGTTTTTATAAAAAACACCCTTTGGTAAAATGCAAAACAAATAATGTTTGTACACATTCGACTAAATTATTATTTTATAAAATAAACAGTATAGGTACTATTACTAGGTTAAACTATAAGTACCTAGGTATCTGATTTTTTTTAAAGTAAATTAACTTGAAGCCCGACACAACTAATTTGAACGTTCAGAGTAGCGGTAAGGGGAAAGCGCTGTCCTTGTCTGTCTGTCAAGCACAATTATCAAAGTTTGACTATCAACCAACGCCAGCGACTGAATATCTGTTGTTGCCGTGTATTGTTATCGTGTCGTGTCAGCAAATTATTCACCCTCTTTTAAAAACCGAATAGGTACCTACTGCTGTGATGCGTATGTATGTATACATCAAAAATGAAAATACGGTAGATAAAAATAGTTTTTTATGTTACTTTGGTCTGCAGAATTGTTTCTGAGTAATATTTAAAAAAAGTTTCATAATACTTACACTTCTGCCAAAGTATCGTAGACTTTCTTCAAAGTGGCATTCTGCATCGGAGCTGACCTGACGGCTTTCTTTAATCCTCTAAGAAAGGCTTCCTTTTCTTCCGCATTCACATCGGGCGGATGATTATGCGGTTGGGTCAACCTAAGCTGGTCATTGTTCCCGTGCAATGGTAGCGTAGCTCTGCCGCGGCAACCGGACTTTTTGTGTTCAGCGCAGCCAAGATACCTTTTTAGTTGTTATTGAAAATATTTTAAAAAATTGAATAATGAAACACTTATTATAATTAATTATATTAGTTTTACTTTAAATTATCCAGCAAGCTGAATTCTTACATTTAACAAAGCAATCCAGAATTTTTTGATATAATAAGTAATAGATATAATTGGATTACACTTTGTTATGTAAAAATACATTACATGGGCCAAAAAACTGTTTTTTAGCAAAATATTTTCAACTACCACGAAAAAGAGAACCGCAACACATTCAAAATTAATTTACAATTATCAGTTTTTAAACCCAAAATTCGTATTTTTTAGATCTATCAATTTTATAAAAAATAACACTGCGCCTTATATAAAGGTTTAATTGATATACTTGAGCTTCGGATTTAAAAAATAATATAGAAAATATAATCAAGCTCGTTTTCATATCCACATAAACATATTATTTTGAGTATATTTTTTTAATAGTTAATCAATATGGAAGGATTTAAAACCAATTTCTACCAATTTCTAGTACATACATATGTTCAAAAATATTTGTTTATTAAAAAATTATGATTTTTGTTTTTAAGCAAGAAAACTACAGTTTTCAGAAATCTTATTATGAGTCATAATTTATGACTAATTCTAAAATCTAAGTGATTTGCAAAATGTTTTTATCTTAAGTAACTTTTATTTTTAATCAATTAATTAATTAATTATCGAATTGAATTTTAAAGTAATTTTGAAAAAAATTACATTATCAGAAAATGTGTCAAAATATGTTCATAATATTGCGAAAAAAATTAGGATGAGATTCCTAGCATAAAAATAAACAACTTAATATCCAATTTGTTTAAAGGAAATAAATACAAAATTCTAATATTTTATATCTGAAAATCCCTAAAACACTAGGAATATCTAAGTGTGGGATAGAAATGTGTTATTTTACATCTAAAACACTTCCTTCAGTTCAGAGTAAAAAAATTGGGTTTACTCAAAAACAAAGACGAATATAAAACAAAAAAGTTTTATTTTGAACAAATATTAAAACCAATTAAAATCAGTGACTTGCCATATTTCTAATTACAAATAACAGTTGAAATGCCCCTATACTAGGACCCACTTGAATATATAAATCGATATAAATTAAATCTAATTAGATCAAAAGCTGACAATTATTTTTATAAGCGAACACAAAAATTAAAATAAGGGTTTCCCAGATAATAGAAAAATCAGATATTTAAAAGTAATAAAGTAAATGAAGCGTTTCCGAAAATTACTTAATGAGAGCTTTGTTCTTATTTTCATGCATGGGAAACTTCTGCTAATTTTTTTTTAATAAATGAATAAATAAGTCACTTTGTATATTTTCAATAATTTTATAGTTTTTTTGAACATAATATTTTAAAACAAACTAGTTTAATTTAAACCTGTATACAAGGTGTTTCTTCTCCAAATGGACGACGTAATATTTTTCATTTGAGCTCTTGTTTTCAAATCTATAACATTCTTTGATTTTGCCCTACACCTTTTTATATCCGTTATTTATGGCCGGATTTAAAAAAAAATCGTTTTTTGGAATCCACAATTTTTGTGAACATTTTTATCAAAAATATCAAACAAGAAAGATGAAGAATGTCGAGAATTCAAAAACAAAAGCTCGAAATAAAAATATTTATTTTAAAAAATAACCTCTATGATAATTAGGTTGCCCACTTTAAGTAGAAACATTTTGTAGAAATAAAATTACATTTTGGCGGCTACGCAGTGTTACTTTATTTTGTATTTAGTTCCATAAAAATATATATTATATATATATATATATAAATATAATATATATATATAGGTTAAAAAACTAACCAACTAACTTCTTATATTTGTGAATTTTTATGAAACTTGTATTAAATAAAATACGAATTTAAGATGGATAATTTAAAATAACCAGAAAATTTATTGATAATTAAAAATATTTACCGTAATGGCGGTGTACCAGAAATGACATTATTATGATATACGAATCCATCGACTACAAATCTCATTCGCGATGATGTTCTCTTTTTACGTGGTCTGTTGGACTTGATTTGGAATTTTGAATCAAAATCATCTGATAAAAATAACAAACGAATTTAAGGCAATTGGCATTTTAAATATTAAATTATATTAATTTAAGTTTATAGAAAACGATACAGCTTAACGTTTATTAATAGTTTTGCATACATAGGGAATTCATATGTACTAATGAAAATTCAGTATAAAAACTAGTTTTTATTAAATAATACAACCGACTCAAATAACAAAATGTGTAAATAAATATATAGATTGTATTTTGTTTGATTGTATATACCACAATCCATTGTGGTATATACCTAGTTTAACACCTCTAGATAATTAAATACAAAAGTACATAAATTCACTGTATATTATTTTTATTATACATAACTAATAAATCTAGTAAAACAGTAGCACAATTCTAAGGTGTACTGAGTGCCAAAGGATCATCTAGTTTTTCGACTCAAAGTCCCCTATTTTAGGAATAACTCCTACTATCATTGAAGAAAGTTTTAAAACCCACAGCTCTTTGACAATGTTTGGATGTGAAATTTTAAGTTTTTAATCAAAAATTAAAAAAAACGTTTAAATAATTTATTTTATATATTATAAACAAAAGTTGCTGAAAATGTTTCTTAACAATATTAATAATAACCATTTTCGGTTTAGAACTCTAGAAATGATATCAGTTTTGAATTTACTTTAAATATATATGCAGTTTGGCTAGACATAAAATAAGATAGACGAGCCAAATCGTGGGTGGTTTAGTTATAACTCCTATGTGCAAAATTCTAAATTAATTTCACTTAAAAATTATTTCCAAACCAACGACGAAATATTGCCATGTGCTTAATATTTTCAGCCTTAAAATTCCCAAATCTGTCATCTATTCTAAAGGTTTAGGACCTGGTGACACCAAATTCGTTTTAGTTTTTAAATAAACCAAACACAGATTTTTACCTTGATGAGAAATATTTGCAAGTTTAAAATATTTTAAGGCAAAAAAACGATCTATTTTTAAACAGAATTATAACATTTTACATGGTAAAAAAGAAATACATTTATTTTAAATATTTTTTCCAAGAAAGCTATGGTCCTCAAACATTTAAACCATTTTCATTTTTTACAAATCGCGTGAAGAACGAATAGCTGACGTGCGACCGTGCGATCAAGAATGAGGTCATTTGGAGTTCTTTCGTTGTGTCCGAATAGATTTGTTTTTATTTTTTAATGTTAGTTTTTTTCGCGTTGTGCTATCTTTATTAACCAATACGCAAAATTCGCGGCACTTCAAAAAACGGCCACAACGCGTTTTGACAACTAAGAAAAGCCGTTAGTTAGCTGATGCACTAGAGTGGCAATATTGTCAGATTAAAAGTTGCGCGCGGAATTGTGCTCATGCGCCGACCAAGCCCGCTTAAGCTACTTATAAAATATTTTTAATATAAAAAGCTCAGGCAAATCTTAAAAGGCAATTTAGCGCCGTTTTTCTATTTTAACTTATAAGCAGACTTGAGTTAATCAGCTAACGGTTAGAACCCGTTTATGGCCTTTTTTGCAGTTTTTAAAACCGCCACGACACGAATTTTGGGTTGTGAATAATTTAAAGATGTCACAACGCTTTGAGTTCATTTTTTTGGTTGCTTAATAAGCATTTTTAGCTTTCTTCCAGATCGGGCTTCGTGATCGAGATATTTCGAGTTAGGGGCCGTCAAACTGCGTGACGCTAAAAATGGTCAAAACTGACCCCCCTCGTGACATAATGTGACGGCGTCACGAGATTAATGAACGGCCCCTTAGCATTGGTTATTGTTTTGTCCCTATATTATTAAAAACTTTTTAATGGTAACTATAATTCTTTGGCTGGAGATAGAAAGGGCGGGGGTCACAAATTTGCCAATAAATAAAGAGCCACAAATTTTACTCTAGAAAATGCTTTTAACTTAACAGGGCCAAAAATGGCCACCTGCCCTTTCCACGGTGGATTTTTAGGGTCAATTTTCGGATCATCAGGCAACCACGGTTTTTTTTCATAAATCGATTATATGCCTGTTATAGACAAAAAATACCAAAAATAAAAAAAATCTCTCGGTTTTTTTGTTATTTATTAAGAAAAATATAATATAAATGGGTCTAATTTTACTTTTTTGGTTATTTTGCAAAAAGTATCAATTTTATCGAAATTCTGTTTTAACAGTGATATAGAATATTAAATTTTCTACAAAAAAGGTTATACGCATTTTCTTTGTAATATATATACTTTAGGAGTAATATCCGTACAAAGTTATAAATTTTTTAAAAATCGCATTTGCTGGTTCTTTTAATTGGAATTACATTGACACATAAAAGTGGATAAAGTTTCTACATTATAAAGTAATTTTTTATATATGTTTTATTGTAGAGTGGAAATTAGAAAGGGCCTAAGTGCCAAAAATAAAGTTTTAAGATAATCGAAAAAAACTAAATAAAAGCCAGGTAAGCACCTGCATCCCTCGACATACTCGACCGGCTAGCCGCGGCTGTAAATTGTAATTTTGGCAATTAGAATTTTTCATAGGTTACAAAGCATGGCACAGAGAACCTTTTTATGTAAAAAAGCCTTTTCTTATTTCCTCTCTTCAATTATATATAATAATACTTAGAATTAATAATATTTAATTAAGTCGAAAAAACGTAATGTAATGTTTATAATACAATTTTAAAATAACTTTTCTTATTTTAATAAGTAATTTAACTTAATTCTTTGGTTCTTACCACTTAAAATCTTGAAAAACCTTTTTTTCGGGTTTTGACGTTTACATTTTGCTTGGGTAACTATGATTAAAAATTAAATATCCCATAAAATTGTTTAAAAAGTAGATTTTTTATTTCTTTTTACTGATTTTTTTTAATTCTATGCTTCTTTTGTTGATTTTTTCTTAGTCATAAAGTATTACAATCGAAAAAGATATCAATTTTTAAAAACTTATCTAC